TAATTAATCTAATCCAAGTTTGAGTCCAAATCCGGGTCCAAATACTCAACTGTCTAACTTCTTATTGCCAACTGCATAATCTACCTTCATAATCATCACTCAATGGGAATTTCACTAACGGGTTTCTCCGCCCCTAGTCACTCGGTTGGCTACCCAAGTGACCTTAAATACCAATGTCTCTATGTAGTACAGCGGATAAGCTCCCAATATAATTGGAGAAAAGCATGAAACTTCTAGCATAGTTAGTTTAGACCATAAGATTTATTTTCAGATGTGGAGGGAAGTCAGATTTGACCTCTGATGACCCTGAGAGGTCAAATCCAAAATGGCCGCTATTCCTCATGCTAATGTACAAACACATTTAACTTTTGAACCAAATAGTCCAGAAAAACATTTAAGGTGTCATTTCCAACTAACTTGGGGATGCCAATTCATTTGGTAATACTTTTGAGATCGCTTGAACTTAGGGTTTTGCATTTAGGTCAAGGTCATGGTCAAAATTGACTAAAAAATAGCAAGTTTTGAATGGTTACAAAAAGTTTTCCCATTTATTTGTCATTTGTTCTCTCCTATGTTCTCAAATTTCTTTAGGAATTTACGCGCCTTAATCCCTTTCAGTGAGTTTATGTCACATTTTGATTTGACCTCTGATGACCCTGAGAGGTCAAATAAAAAATGGCCGCCAGTCCGCATGGTCTAATAATTGTACAAACACGCTTAACTCATGAACCAAATAGTCCACAAAAGCGTTTAAGGTGTCATTTTCAACTAACCTGGGGATGCCAATTCATTTTGGTAATAATTTTGAGACCGCCAGAACTCGGGGCTTTGCATTTAGGTCAAGGTCAAGGTCAAAATTGATTAAAACATAGCAAGTTTTGAATAGTTACAAAATGTTTTCCCATTTTTTTGTCCCCTTATGTTCTCAAATTTCTTTAGGAGTGGTTCCCCTGCATAGTCTCCATCGTAATCAGTTAGTTTATTTCACTAATTATAGCACCAAACCATTATTTGTCTTGTAACTGACCATTTGCATATAGCATGGTCAGTGGGCAGCTAGCAGCGCTCAAAATACACGAGGGCGGTGGGCGATTCGCCCCCGTGAGCTACATAATCGCCCCCGTCAGGTTGCTCACGGGGGCGATTGCAAAATTAAAAATCGCCCCGGTGGAATTATAAAATAAAGATTATCTTTTCTGTTATAACTTTAACACAATATTGAGTTTCAATTTTCAAACCTTAAACCAATGAAATGGAACTAAGATTAGCGTGCAAGATTTCTCGTTTTATGAGTAGGCCTATTTACCGATTCAGCTCGCAGTGCAGTGCCGCCGTCAGCAGTGGTTATAGGCCTACTGCGCCTTTAGTAGCGGTGCGTGTGCACGCTGCCGCGCCATGTCTGCTGGAGCTGGAGGCGATCGCGCAAGGGCAGAAACATGGTCATGGCCTGGTGAAGATTTTCGTTGTCAGCAAATAATGAACCTCGACCAGTAAATCAATATTAGGGACTTTTAGATTTGCACGATGAGAACGTGGACTGCAACGTGTGACCTCCTTTTAAGGCACTGCCAGTGCTTAAAAGGACGTCACATGTGACTGCCAGTGCCTTAAAAGGACGTAACACGTCCACGTCCACGTCCACGCAAACCTAAAAGTCCCTTTTGAGGAGAAGAGGAAGACCAAAATGTCGTGGAATGATATGGTAACATGGGCAGATCTACGGGGGGGGGGGTTAGGGACCACCATCATTTTGCAATGGTTCAGGGTTCGTGTAAGGTACATCTGAAACCATTTCTTAGCGTCTCAACCCTAAAAAAATAGCAAAACTATTTTTGAGGAAAAGCATTATACTGAATTAAATAAAGAATAATAGCTTTATATTGGATCATACTAATACTGATACGGGCTAAAGACAATGTGGTATTTGTATAGAGGTATTCCAAAATGACATTCTGATAATCAACATTTGTTCTGGTATCATAATGTATATACGCACGATACAACTGATCTTTATGATTTCTTAACTTGACATAGCTTCTTCTCCCTCTGCAAACAAAACAGAAAACAAGGTTATTTAATAAAAGGACCATGCGACAAATAATCATTGTGATTCAAATTGATGCAAGGATTTTTTTGAATAAGCAATGCTTTTCACCAGAATCTTCTTTGTAAAAACGACTTTTACAAATCTCAGCCATGCAATTCTGCCACTGTGCTGTAAGATCACTTTGAGATTAGGATAAGTGTATTATGTAATGGGTATTTCAAATTGAATGGAACGTCTCAATCAACATTTGTTCTGGTATCATAATGTATATACGCACGATACAACTGATCTTTATGATTTCTTAACTTGACATAGCTTCTTCTCCCTCTGCAAACAAAACAGAAAACAAGGTTATTTAATAAAAGGACCATGCGACAAATAATCATTGTGATTCAAATTGATGCAAGGATTTTTTTGAATAAGCAATGTTTTTCACCAGAATCTTCTTTGTAAAAACGACTTTTACAAATCTCAGCCATGCAATTCTGCCACTGTGCTGTAAGATCACTTTGAGATTAGGAGAAGTGTATTATGTAATGGGTATTTCAAATTGAATGGAACGTCTCAACTCAGTAAGCATGGCTGAGATTTGTAAAAGTTGCCCGTCGAAAGTTCCAATTCCTACTTATCAACAACTTCAGAATTTTATTGACAAACCAGTTTTAAACCCGTTTTATCTATAAAAAAAAATCATCTCTTGCTGTCTGTAATTCAGTGCTAAACATACATTTTACTGTTCAATATTGATAATACTATAGAGATAATGTCCAATATTGAGTGTCACAAATTTTTAGGAGTTGTAATTAACTCTATCTTAAGCAACGTTTCTTACTGTACAACTTCTGAGTGCCAAGCCAGAGAGAAAGTGTGTAAACGTGTGATGAGTTAACAGATTCACAATCCAGGTTGCTATTATGTACTCACATTTAGATCAACTACATTGTTATACATGCTTTTGACACATGGGAGCAAATGCATTTTTAATTCAAGTAAATGATTGGCTGCCTTTGTCCTCTATATAGATACATTAACGAGGCATCCACTATCTTACAGATATATTGAACTACAGTTATACACCAAATTACTATGTACAAGTATAAAATACATATTCAAATTGTTGTGGTACTAAAATTAAATTAAGAGTTAACTTAAATCTAAATCTTAATCTAAATCTAAAGGATGCCTCATATATATTAACATGCACTGGTGACATTTTCCGTTACCGAGGCCCGAAGCCTCCCTGTCAAAACATTCATGTCTGTGGTACTTCACTTAATCAAAAAATAAAAGTTTACCACTCATAAATAACTTTCATGTAATAGGACATCTTAAATGATTACGGTCATGGTAACAACAACTTTAAGAAAAATGCCAGCCAAGCCAGTATCAAATTCGTGCCATCACCTTGCCATTTTGTGGTTAAAGGCCAAGTCCACTTAAAAAATAACTTACTTTCAATAGAAGCAGAAAAATCAGACAAACCAATCAAAAAAAGTTTGAGCAAAATCGGATATCTAATGAGAAAGTTATGAATTTTTGAAAAAGTCTGTAAAGCTATGGAACAATGAAAATCACAAGACAAATTGGACATTCACTCACGAGTCTGTGACGTCATGTCCTCACTATCCACTAATTGTTTTCTTTATATTGATAATATAAATTTCCTATCTTCCCCCTAAGAATCTTATTTCTTTACACCAGCATCCAAGTTAGATTGATAGTAATATGTTTTTGTGTTGATGCACTAATATAGAGTATTTTTTTCAGTTAAATCATAACAAATGTGACTTGTGATAAAATATTTAGATAAAAATCAATAGTTATGAATATACAATATTCAGAAAATAGTATCAATTCTTCAAAGTTCATAAAACATTTTGTGCAATGTCATGCACGCAATAAGATACAAATCATATAACCTGGGCAAAGGCATGGGGAAATCAAGTTTTGGGGGGATAAAAAGATAAATTAAAGGGATTAAACTATATAAAGCAATTGATACATAGTGAGGACATGACGTCACAAACTGATAATAAATTTGGCAATTTGTGTAGTGATTTCCATTGTTCTATAGTTTTACATACTTTTTCAAAAATTCTAAACTTTCTTATTAGTTATCTGATTTTGCTCAAACTCTTTTTGATTGGTTTGTCTGATTTTTCTGCTTCTATTGAAAGTAAGTTATTTTTGGAGTGGACTTGTACTTTAAGTCCCCAATTCTGCCACAGCAGCTCAACCACTATAAAATCACCACTATGGCCAACTATAACATTTGCCAACCAGTGCGATGCCTGAACTATTTAATTCCATCAAGATAGCCCTGCCAGTTTAAGAATGCAATTAATTACGTAACTTTCAGCAAATTACTAAACATGTCCAAATACATGTAAACAGTACGTCCCGGAAAAAACGAAACCGAGAATTATCGATGTTTTATCATAACTTAGTCACATTTATAATTAATAAATGACACATATTTAGGAGTTCTTTTTGCTGCGTCTTGTGTTCTTCTTCGTTTTATGATGTATCTTTCTGCGTCTCGTCAACCGTATACTAATTCTCATGAATCGTCAGCCTCGTCGTGTGGTCCACACAAGTGACATCAACAACCCACGGTTGTCGAGCACATCAAGACGGCGTAAAGATATGCTCTTCATAGTCGTCTTGCTGGCGCCTAAACTCCACAATAATGTCTTTTTTGGAAATTGCTGGGATAATAATAATTACTGGGTAATATTGATTGCTGGGGTAATAATAATTGCAGGGCCCACAGGACGAGCAGTGTTCTATTGTCATATTGATGTGGCGACCCTGGGTAAATAAGGCCTGAGTTTTTGATAAAATTACAGTTTCTAACCAATATTTCCGATGTCCAAACAAGATGTCGATGTAGAAAAGGTTGACAGATAAATTATAGTTGCACTGATGACGAAAAGAAGGGGAATCTGTGGTTTTACAGATCATTTGCTCTTTTCTTTTGTTTTCTGCGAAGGGCAAGTAAAAAGAGTAAGGCATTTACCTCAAGAAAGCAAAAACCAAATCCAATCCCGACAAACACCGTAGTGAACGATTGTGTGGCATCCTTGATAAGACCTGCGTGTGAAAGAAAAAATTACTATATGAGAATAAAGTGATAGGTGATATTTTCAATAAAAGGGAATATGATGCTTTTGTACAATTTAAAAACGTGTACATTGCCACATTGACCTCATTGGAGAAAAATCAAGATTTAAAAAAAAAATCATTACTATTTCTAAAAAAAATAGATCGACATGCCGGTTAATCAAAATTTCTCTTACTCATATGATGTTCCTTTTTTCGTTTGGTTTGTTTGTTTGTTTCGCTTTGCTTTTGTCTTGTTAGTATAATATGTTTCTTCAGATAAGTTGTTTGCAAATCTACTTCGACCACCACTTCCATTAAAATTGCCATCAGCGAAGTCTCGTGACGTCACTGGCAACATTGTTTACATTTTTGTACCAAACACCAGTGACAACGTGTAGAAATTTTGAACCATACCTCCAAGGAAACCTCCAGAGATCCCTCCAAGCCCCGATACAAGACCATAGATGCCCGCAGCCATAGTGAAGTTCTCGTCGGAAACGGAATACTTCAGGTAACCTGGGAGCGCCAGATTGCCGGAAAAGACACTCCAGCCTTGGATAAAGGAAACAACGCACATCACTGGAAACGTCGTGATGAAGGGGTCTGCCAGAAAGGTGACTGCAGACAGCATGAAGAACACGCAGGACAGAACTATTGGGTTAGCACCGAAGTAGAGAAGTGCTATAAAGAAGACCCGGCCCACGATACCCCCTGTTCCACCAGCAGTCGACACGAAGACTGCCTTGGAGCTCGGGATGCCATGCCATTCCGCTCTGGGCACGAGAAAGAGCACCCAAGCATTTAAACAAACTGAAGTGAAGAAAAGACACGGAAGTGCCATGGTGAAGAGAGGCTCTTTGATTAAAATGCAGTTTTTGAGCCATTCCTTGAGATTTGTAAGACACCCTGTGGATGATTTTGGTTCTTCCTTCGAGATACATTCGTCGTCCTCCACTCTCGCCAGTTTCTCTTCGCTACCAGTTGTCTCATCATCGTTATCATCCTTCATAGCCGGTTTTGAAGGCCTATCTCGGGGTTTCTTCAGAGTGGCACTTGCTGGAATGGCATGCAACGAAAAGGCACTAAGTATGAGCATCGCTCCAATGTAACCGTAGGCCTCCAGCGACCTCTCTATGACGAACGGCGCAATGAAAGCTCCTGTTGCACTACCAAGATTGGCGACTGCAGCCATTAAAACATAACTCCTTTTAAAATATTCATTCAGCATCACTTTGGAAGAAAAGTAACCCATGGATAAGCCAACACCTGAAAGAAAACGAAAGAAAAATTGGGATTTTCTTTTTAAAACTTATGATCGCTTTTGCCTTTTCAATTCACATACTGTGCACCAACTGTATTTTTTCATTTTAATCCTCCGTTCTTGACAGGGGGTAAGGAGTTCCAGGTTGTACGGGCAATCACGGAAAATTATAAGCACGCGTTCTCGTGGCACAACTATCCCCATCAATATGCTATGATAAATTTCAATTGCTGATTACGGATATTGAAATAAACAAACAAGCAGACAAAGAAACAGGAACAAAAAAACCAACCAACCCGTGAGTGAGAGGCATAGTCCTAGTTCCGGTATTGATGTGGTGAAGCCAGCAGCAATCAGAAAGGCCGAGGATAAGAACGCACCAATCAGAGCAATCATTCGGGGTGTCAAAACACCTGTCTTTAAGACGTAAGCAACAGCGGGACCTGTTGATGTGAAAAGGAGCAAACGAGAAGAGAAGGTTCAGAACAATTGTTTGTATTACTATTATTTTATTCCACCTCACTTCGTGTAAACACGATCGTAAATTGATTTTCGATTCACTTTGGAAATGTGAGAATATTATAATGAATTATTACGTAATCCGACCATGATTTTCTATGGGAAATACAATAGGGTGTTGAAATTGGCCTTGAGTTGATTTCTCGAATGTCTTTGTGACCGACCGTGATCAATTTATAAACACAACCAGGAGTAAGTTAAAAAGCAAAAAGTGTACCTGCAAAACATTAATAATACAAGAAATCATTGACGTTGCAAACATTGCAATAACTATCGCCCCCCCCCCCCTGCCCCGTAAAATACGCTAGTGCCCCAATTAAATTTGCTTACATGCAATGTTCATCCAGGCAGATGGCATGCTACACGCAAGCCCTATGGTCTTTGTATTTGTTGAAAGGATATTAATCATGACGGGAATGAGAACACCAAATGACTTGGAAATCGCCACCTCGATGCAGTTGATGACAAACTTGCTGACTACAATAGTGTACTTCCAAGGGTCCTTCGAATCCTCGCTCTGATGTGTGGCCATGTTGGTCTATTGGTATCTAATTTGAGAGATGGGCATGCAAACATTGTTAGAAAAATTGAGAGAAAAGAACAAGTTTACAACGTACTTGCATTTAACACACTCACACACACACACACGCGCGCGCACTTTGTCTATATATATATATATATATATATATATTTAATAGCAATTTTTTCATCTATCGTTATTCCCAGAAATTTAGTATTTAAAACTCTTTGAGTAATGGTACAATAAAAAACAACATTGCCTGAAGTTCATTTATTATGTTACTGAAGAGCATGTAGTTCGTCTTTTGCAGATTGAGAGATAATTTATTGGCTTTGATCCATTCTGAAACACATCTTAATTCCTAGTTGATGGTGGAAAGCAAAATATGTGGGTCCTTATGGGAAAAGAAAAGATTTGAGTCGTCAGCAAAAAGAATAAAAGATAAAACCTCCGAAGACTTACAGAAATCATTAATATAAATAAGAAAAAGAAGCGGGCCCAAAATAGAACCTTGTGGGACACCACAGCTTACATCTTTAGTATTAGACAGGGCATTGGCAATAGAAACACACTGCTGCCTATTGTGAAGGTAGTTCCTGAACCACTCCAAGGCTATTTCTCTAACTCCATAATAACTGAGTTTGTAAAAAAGTATATCATGATTAATTGTATCGAAAGCCTTGGAGAAGTCCTGGAACACCCCAACAGTATGTTCATATTTATCGATCCCACTAGCAATCTTATTAATCATGGTCAACAACGCATGAGTAGTGCTGTGTTTTGCACGAAACCCGAACTGCAACTGGTATAATAATTCCAATAATAATAATTCCAAGGATCCTTCGAATCCTCGCTCTGAAGTGTGGCCATGTTGGTCTATTGGTATCTAATTTGAGAGATGGGCATGCAAACATTCAAGGGTGTCGATTTGTATCCGTGGTTGGGGGGGAAGATAGGTGCCAAAATATTTTCGGCAATGGATCAAAGCAACCAAGAAGTAGAAGCGTGTGGCAGGTTGCACCCCCTCCCCAAGCCCCGCGAAGCGCGGAAGCTCTGACGTTTCATCAGATAATTAAAGAAAGAAGACGATTCGATGTACCATTCTAGACTCTTAATCCTTGTATGAATTCAGTTCCCCCCCCCCCCTCCCTTGCGAAGCGCTGAAGATTTGACGTTTCAGTACATTTTTACTCTTAATCCTTGTCTGTTTTCATTTTCGCCCATCCAGGGCAAAGCGCGGAAGCTTTACAGTTTCATTAAATTATTAGAGAAGGAAGAAGATTCGTTGTATCGTGTCCTGGTCTGAATTCAGTTTTCGCCCTCCCGCGCAAAGCGGGGAAGCTTTGACGTTTCATTTGATTATTACTCTTAATCCACGTCAGAAATCATTTTCACCCATCCCGCGCGTAGCGCGGAAGCTTTCACGTTTCACTATTTTATTAGAGAAAGAAGACGATTCGTTGTACTGTTCTCTATATATATTAATCTTTGTCTGAATTCAGTTTTCCCACATGATGTACGTATGGAACGTTCGTTCGCAAATCTTTGCATGCACAGCCCGAGTGGTGGGTAGCATGTTATCTCCCGGCAGTGCTTGTCGCAATAACTCCTGGAAAGGAATTGTATACTACTGTTAGTGCTAACGGCCACTGATTAGGCCCATTATTGACTATACAAAATATATGCTCTTCCTGGCTATTTTGGAATTTGCCAGTTTGCAACAGAAATGGAGAAACGCGAATTTTGTTGAAAATCATGTGATAGCCTATCACGAACATTTATAAATCACTTGTATGAAATTGAAAATAAGTTTTTTTTGGGGGGGGGGAGGGCCTAGCGCCCCCAAGCCCCCCACCAGAACGCCAGTGACATAGGCCTACATCAGCTTTTCAATAAAACTAAAATAATTTGTGACATAATGATCTTTCTCCAAAAATGAAAAATGTTTTAGGAAGTATCAGGAAATGAAATGAGTGAAAAAAGGGGTGAACGGAAACAACAAAGCAACTAGTGAACTATTTTACTTATCAGTCATACTGATGTCCGTAAATCTTTCTCTTTGTCTCCGATCTCATCACGAATTCGTCACAGAGTTCATCTATGTTTACACTGTCCAGGATTGTCTGATGTGCATTGCAGATTCCTACTTTTAGCTCGTTGTTTTTTAACGCTGCGTCTTTGTATTTGGCGCACTGCATTTCTATATGTTGATTGAACAAATTGAATAAATTCATCAATTCCTGATGAAGCCGTATGAGCGAGAATTCAATTTATTCTTGTCTCATATACGGTTGTCTCATTTACTTCGTATGTATGTATTATGAAAATGAGATAGCAAAATATGTATATTGATGGTCATCTTGCGAGTAATAACAATTAACTACTCTCATCTTTTTTTTTTTTTTTTTTTTTTGAGGGTGAATTATTGGGGGGGGGGGGGATGATTGTACAGGCCATCCCCCCACCTGAAATATTAGGGGGGATATATCCCCCCCATCCCCCCCCCCCCCGGGATCGACACCCATGCAAACATTGTTAGAAAAATTGAGAAAAAAAACAAGTTTACAACGTACATGCATTTAACACACTCACACACACAAACACGTGCGCACTTTGTCTATATATATATATATGTAATAGCAATTTTGTTTTATTCCTCCAAATTTGTAATACAAACGAAAACATACAATTGAACAAAATAAACGTTTCCAATAATGATGCTTATACATAAACCCAAAACATGATTAAACAAAACAAAAACTTGTTTGCAGTATATACCCAGGATGTTATTTTACCGGTACAATTTTTTTTTATTTTTTTTAAACAATTTTGTTTTATTTCTCCAGATGTGTAATACAAACCATGACATACAATTGAATAAAATAAACGTGTTCAATATTGATGCTTTTACATAAAACATAATTAAACACAAACGTATTTGCAGTATAATATAACTTAGCAACAAAGTAAACGTATAAGTACTTAAACATAATATGTCAATTGTAAATGTTATTTATTACAAAAAAACAAACAAATCTGGAGGTAATTTTACTGAAACAATCCTGCCCCCTCCCTGCCCCCTCCATCACACAGACATACTCACCCTCTATCACACAAACATACTCACCCACTCCCACACATACTCACTCACCCACCCACCCACCCCCCCCCCCCACACACACACAGTACTCACTCAGTGGATGTCTGCCAACATTCTCAACTCATGAAAAATATACTAAATAAGTTATCCAGGCCACTACATAAGTTATCCAGGCCGCAAAATCGAGTTACGCTTTTAACAGGCTCACGGTGGAGAAGAAAGCAAATCTTAATTAATCTTAAGCTGCTCCCACTTTAAGAAATGTGATCCTAGCTTTCCAATTTTAATTGCTATTTTCTTTTCCTCACCCCTATACTTAAAAATGCTTTTTTTCATCTTTTCTAAAGTTAGTACTCGCCCCCCCCCCCAATCTTGACATAAATGTAACATACTTCACCATGAAAATGATAGTATTACACATTTTTATTCTATATGAACTACCTACCAACCCAACAAATATATCTCGCCATTCTAAATCTTTAATTTCATCTAACTCAAAAAGTTGTATTAAAGCCTGCCATAACCTTTGAACGCTCCCACAAGATAAAAATAAATGTTTGTATGTTTCTATTTCCTGCTTACAAAACGAACATAAATTATCACCAACAAAACCAAATCTATGAAGATGCTCATTAGTGTATATGGCTCCATGCAATAATTTAAATTGAAATTCACGTTGTTTTCTAATGAGTATAGTAATTCTTGGTCTAACAAATATTTCTTTTAATTCTTTATCTATAAAATCATAATCATTTTGCCCATCACTTACCTGCAAATCATACGTTCGTTGCAGTGCTTTGATAAAATAATCATAGATTGTTCTTGAACCCACATCCACAAACTGTTTTTTTTTTACTAGAAATATGGAAATAAGTATTAAAGCTTATCAAATCAACCTCGAGGAATTCTATTAACCCTGAATCATCCTTCCATAACCTGGGTATCGCATCATAAATATCAATAATCATAAGCAAATTATTACCTTTCATACCGAGGTTCATAAAATATTTAACAGGCTTAACATGACCTTTCTCAACCAAATGATTCAGTTGAACAATCCCTCTTTCAAACAAGTATCTATCAAATATACTTTTTCCATTTATACATATATTCTGATTATTAAAAATAATTGGATTAATATAACCCTCCAAATATCTTAAATTGCTTGTCTCTTGCCATGCTTGCAACATTTCCATATAGTATGGTGGAATATCTAAAACGAGTTTAATCTTGTTTAAATCATAATCACATAAAAAAATAAATCTACCACCCACAAACTGTAAGCAATGATCAAAAAACAATTTCCATCCCAAACTTTTCTCTCCATATAAAAGACGTTTTATCCACATTATGCGCTGTATTTTAACGGACATTTCAAAATTAATCATTCTTAATCCTCCAAAGTCATAATCCTGATACATTATTGCCCGTTTAATTCTATCTTTCCCCCTCCATATGAATTCAAATGAAATTTTTGCAACTTCTTTATAGACCCAATGAGGGACAATAACGAGAGATGAAATATAATTTAATTTTGAAAGCGCATAAGTTTTTAGCAAATGTATTTTACCCATAATAGTTAAATCTCTTTGTTTCCACCATACAAGCAATTTTTTTATTTTACTTAGAATTTCTTTATAATTCAAATCATCTTTTAATCTTCGATCTAATGAATAACTAACCCCTAAAATATGTATTTCCTTAACCAAATTTCCAAATAAAGGCCCATTAGGTTTGTTCTCATCCTCATCTGCACCCATCCACATAAAATGTGTCTTCGTTTTATTCACTTTAAGACCACTAATTTGTTCAAATGATTCAAAAATATATTGCAACCTTCTAACCGAATCAATATCCTTCAAACATATTGTCATATCATCTGCATATAACACTTGCCTTATTTCAGATTTTCCAAATGTAATCCCTTT